TACAACTCCATTCTGTGAAGTCCTCCTCTGTTCCAGGTTCAACTTCTTTTCAGCAAAACCAAATCATAGCAGTCCATTCGGCCTTGCTTCCCATGAGCTCCTTCGTTTGTTTGTGTGTTTTTGTTTGTTTTTACATTTGTAGTTTATTGAGACTCTGTAGTTACAACTCAAACAGCTAAAGTCTTCTAACACCAAAGTGAAGGTGGAAGTTTTAGGATGAACACAGAAGCATTTCAGCATTGAACTAGCAAGTTAGGTGGACCGGTGCACCTGTCGAGCACGCAAAAACGTGGGTGCGTTTGATTTGTGTGACGTAGCGTGTTGACCGGGTGGTGCAAACCCCTGAAGTGTTTGCACTTTCTGTGACCTCTTTTTTTTATCAATGTTTTTACAACAGCATATTTAAAATTGATGTGTAACATTATTCAAGAAGGAAACTTGACAAACAATTCAATTTCAGGATCGGACATGTTTTTATATGTTTTGAAGTTATAAAGATGGAAAAGGCTGCTGTGTTAAATAGTAAATAACACAGCACAGAAATTCCACACTGACTTGAAGAGATTGTCGGACTACAAATCGTGAACATTTTAAACAATAACTCTGTCAATATGGCACTACAACAACAAAACAAATTTTAGAATTTGTAGGCCTACTAGTGTTTCAAATACATTGTTTCTTGTGTTACTTTGTACCCCTGTTTCTGACAGGTGTGTGGGTATGTTTAAAAACTAAAAACTAAAATTAAGTAAAGTAAATGGATGTTGGTGTTTTTTAACTACGCCGAGGACTATGATGCTTTCCTAATTTGCTATCACAGGATTATTTGTTTACACAGACTTCACAACAAAACAACTGTGTTACTGTCATGAGACTGAAAGTATAGTTTTACTTTAACCCTCTGCTTTTATTGGCCCGGAGCAGCTAACTTGTTTGGCCTTGGGGCCACTTTTTGCAAAGCGACAGGAGGCTAGGGGGCCGGTATAAATCAGTTTTATTGTCTTCCACAAGCTCTGTGAGACATGATGTATTTCTATGTAGCCTCGCACCTTATTTACATTAAAGGTACAAAAGAAAATTCCCATTGTGAGTCAATTTATCTCATTGTGAATTAGCTTTTAAAATGTTCGAGGGGCCACTTGGCATACTATCAAAGAGGCCGTAAATTATGGATTACTTATAGGCACTAATATGTGACATACAATACAAAAAGCATAATCAATGTGTACTAAAAAATAGAACAATGACCTCCACATAAATGTCCAGTTCTCACAGCCATTAGGCTCCTTCCTTCTGTCTCTTCTCAGCGGTGTCAAACTGATTTCTTCTCATGCCTGATGGGTCAAAGGAAATGCATGATGACCCATTTCAGCCACGGGTGTTTAACTTGTTTAATCTGCTCTGGCATAAATATCTGTTGTACAAAGCTTCACTAACGCCAGTCTTTTTTCCCGGCTGATCACAGGGCAGAAGCCGGGCTGCTGTGTCTGTGACTGACAGCAAATGACCTCCGAAAGCTATAAATGCCCGTTCCTCTTTGTGCACGGGTGGATTGAGGTGTGGGCTGACCTTGTTTTCACCCTTTTTTAATGACAAAGTGTTCATCTGCTAGGAGGGCCGGCTATCTGATAACTGCTACTTCCTCTGAAGTTGGGAAGGTCATTATCAAAGGGGAGGCAGAGTGAGAGACTAACATTAAAGAGCTCACGGTCCACTGAACTGAAGGATACTCATTAAGAGACAAGCTGCATGTACACATATGCATTCAGATGAGACAACATAAAGGATAACTGTTATTTCAACCTGGGCCGTACATTCCTCCTGGCAATAATACTAATAATAATATTAACCTTTCATCTGACAAGATAATTGCTGTAAATGTGATCATACAGCTACTGAACACACCCACACATTAGCCAAATGGATTCAGAAGACAAATTAGGCAAGTGGTGGAATTCTGTCTTGAAAACAGCCATCACCATTTACAGACGCACATTTTGTGATTATTTACAACATATAGTTTTCTCCCAGAACAAATGTGGTTTGGTAAAACTTTCATCTAATGGACCCTGGATATTCACAGTTTTCAGCATTAACTGTGGAGAATGTAATGTAATCAACTGCAATAAAAGATACAGTCCCTTCCAAAACTATTGGAACAGCGAGGCCAATTGCTTTATTTTTGCTGTACACTGAAAACTATTTGGGTTATTAAGACTGGCAAAGTACTAATATATTGCTTTCCTGCAATGTTAACTCCTGCATGTTTAAGCACTTATTTTAACTGATATTATACATATGTATTATACTCTTATAAGATGTATGTAGGTAGTATAATAAATGTGCAGAATATTTAATGGTGGAGGTATACACACATATTGATAGATGTCTTGTAATGCACTGTTGAGGAACCTGCGACCCAAGTTCCTAATCTCCGTCTTCGTCAGGTATTGAACATTCAATAAATAAAGAACACAGAATTATTAAATATAAAACACAGAATTTTTGTGATTATACTAAATGATTTAAAAATAAACACCACTGCATATTTACAACTGTTACACATGCCGATGTAACACAAATGTTTCCAGCTTGCGATCAATAAAGTATATCTTATCTTAAGATGATCGATGGCTACTGCCATATTTGCAAAATTTGCCTCTGAACCTTGACAAGTGCATGTTTCAGGCTCATCAATTAACAACAGGAGGGTTCACAAACCTAAGACCAGCTGTTAAATAAAGCTTTTCTGACCTTAGCTGGCTGCCATTATGGGCACAAGCAATTTTCCCCCATCTATTAATTATATGTTTTAAATTTGAGTGTTTCCTATCCCCTAAACCTCCAGGGATATACACAGTTTAATACTGGCAACATCTTATTATGGGAAATACGAAAACGTCTTTTAAAACTACAACTCCCAGTAGAGACGTGCCATAGATAGAGAACATGTTGTGAAACACAATAGCCAGATAGCAGCGTCCCTAGCAACAAGTAACAAGTAGTTAATAATAATAAAAGACATTACGAAAAAGGCATTTTAAACAGTCATTAAAAAGCAACACAATCTACCTGCATTGCATTACTCTAAACGTGTAATAACGTGCTTTAACCAGTAGGTGGTTTGGGTTAAAAAGCTGTCAAGTTTACAGTGTTAACAAAATAAAATATACTGCTGTTTCTGGTTTAGTTTACGACGGATATATTTAGTTAATGTTTTGATATTTGTAACACAAAAGCGATGGAAAAAACCCACAGCAACACAGAAAAGATGGTCTTAACATGACCCAGCGATCTAGTAGTTAATAAAAAACAATAATATCAAAACAAAATATTACTACTAACTTTATTGTGAAATTCAAACTGAACGGTAAAAGAATAGTTTCCGGTCTATTTTGAGCCCGATCTCTGTAGATAAATAAAAATAAAGAACTACGACAGATGTGTAATATATTTAATGCAGCCGAACCNCATGTGCCCTCAGTTTTAGGTTTGATTGAAGGTCATTCCAAGACCAAGGACCGTAATAAAAAAGACTCCTTTTTCCAGCCTCAGTCCGCACAGCAGGTGGCACCTGCTGTGCGGACTGAGGCTGGAAAAAGGAGTCTTTTTTATTACGGTCCTTGGTCTTGGAATGACCTTCAATCAAACCTAAAACTGAGGGCACATGTCCCTATAACATGTTTTAAATTGAAGTTTTCTGAAGTCCTTACAACCAGCTGCTCTTGCAGTAATAAGTAGTGTACCTTTCTTACTGTCCTAATGTGCACAATGTAGTGACAGCTTTTTTGTCTTTTGTTTTCTTAGTTATGTTCTCTGTATTTTATATGTTTGTGTTATGTGTTATGTGTAACGTTGCTGCCTTCTTGGCCAGGTCAGCATTGAAAATTAGATTGTATCTCAATGCTTTTATCTGGTTAAATAAAAAATAAAAATAATAACTACTTTACCGTAAGACATTAAAACATGAAATGTCAAACATGAGGCTTGAAACAGTGCTGGAGTTGTTGTCCAATCCTGCTTCATTAAATCATTTACAGGCAAGCAGTAGCAACATGAAACACAGCAGCAGTAGCAATGTGAACGCAATAGCAGGGCAGAAACGCAGCAATAGCGAGGCAGAGGCAGACCTGGCAGCTTAAATAGAGCGGCACGTTTAGGAGAATGCGTTGGTTGGTTGTAAGAGGGACGAGGTGCGTCACGTGTCAATGTCTCATTGGCGCTCGAGTTGACTGCCTGAACTAGCTTGCAGGCTTTGCCCCATTTGGCCTAAATGAGTTGGACAATATTTGAAAAATCCAATTTTTTGTGTGTGTGATCTTGGATCAATTGATTATTCTCAGCTCTATTCAATTCCAGTCGGACTGTCATCTAGTTCTTTCAGATGAGGTCCTCTGCACTGACATTGTCTGGGTGGTAATGACACCACCCACTCATTGTATGGGCATGGGCAGTTGCAGCTCTTCAGTGGGAGGCATTAGGTCTTACCACATGCTCAATAAATACACAAGAGAACGTTCAGTACAAAGGCACCAGACAGCTCTCAGGTTATCCATATCAGTTAATTGCCTGAGTTTATATACCGGTCCGTGCTAGATTTTGTTACTGAGGCTACAAGCTCTATGACACTGCTTGTTCTCTTCCAACCTGTTAGTTCACTGACACTGCTTTAAAGATTAAAATACCCTGACGCTGCTTTAAAGATTAAAATACCCAAACTCTTGAAACTGTCATCAATGCTTTCATCTCCATTAGATTAGATTACTGCAATTGACTCCTCCTGGTATAAGTAAAAAAATCCCTCTCCCGCCTCCAGCTCATCTAAACTATGCTGCAAAGGATTTTAACCCAGTCCAGGAAATATAACATCACACCGATCACGCCTTGCATTGGCTACCTGTTGCTTTTAGAATCGATTTGAGGTTCCATTGCTGACTTGTAAGGCTTCGCGAGGCCTCACCACAAGCTGTCTATCTGACCTGTTAATGCCCCATGCCCAGTCCCCCACCCTGAGATCCTAAGAGGCATCGCTGCTGGTCGTTCCAAGGTCCAGATTCAAACACAAAGGAGACAGAGCCTTTGCTGTCAGAGCTCCTGGACGTTTGAACAACCTCCCTGAGGAGATCAGGGCTGCAAAATCTGTCAGCACTTTTAAGTCACTTTAGCTTTTTTGTGATTTTTTTTTGTGTCATTTATTCTTAATATTTGCATTTTTGTTTTACTATTTTCTATGTTAAGATGCTATTGTTTAGTTCACTTGCTCTTTGTGTATTTGTATGTCAAAGCACTTTGTAGCTATGTTTCAAAGGTGCTATATGAATCCATTTAATTATTATTATTATTTGTATTATTATTTTAAAATGATATATGCCGCTTATTAAAAGTATTGAAGCTGCTTTGTTATCGTGGGGTAGTAATCAACATGTATTTGGGTAGTTCCTAGTCTGTTAGTAGTCATCTGTCCCCCTGTGTGCAGGCACATTCAATCCAGAACCTACACCAGAATTCTGGTCATGTCACTGCTGATAACTACTGAGATAGAAGGGATGTGTGTGTGTGTGTGTGTGTGTGTGTGTGTGTGTGTGTGTGTGTGTGTGTGTGTGTGTGTGTGTGTGTGTGTGTACACAGCTGCTTACAAGAAAACACAAGACTGCTAGAACTGCTGGCAGCTTGCCAGAACTGTTGACCTTGGCCAGAAAGACAAGAAGAAGACAAAGGCACACAAACACACACACTTCAACAACACACCACATGAGTGACCTGCAACAAATGTACCCAATGAAGAGGAGGACGATGATGACGTAAATGCTTACGTCAGGTGGAGAAAGCAGTACATGAGCAGTATACTCATTCACACTTTTGCCCAATCCAAACACAATCACACACTTAAACGATGACACACACACACTCGACCATCAAACCAACCCCTATCCAATCCAGCAAAAAAGCCTAAACTTTGAGCGAGCCACACACCTTCATGAATAGGAAGAGCAGCAGGATGACGAAGACACTGACGTCAGGGTGAAGCCAGGCGGCGGAGAGGCCCAGACCCACCGGAGGAGAAGACCCCGAAATCTTTGTCCACGTAAAGTTGTCAAACAGGGAGTTGATACACTCTCTTGGCATCAGCTGGAGAGGGGGAGGAGAGGAAGGAGAAGCGGATGGAATGGATGAGAGAAGTGGCAAATACGGGGATAAAGGAAAAGGACAGGGTAAAGTGGGAGAAGGGGGGGGGGGTAGTAGAGAGGGAATTAGATGATAATTACAGAGGAAGTGAAGAGGAGAAAGACAGGGAAGTGTAAAGAAACTGGAGGAAAAAAAAGAGGCAGAAAGGAAAGAAAAAGAAGGAAGAGTCGAAAGAGGGATGAAAAGCGAGTGATAGAGAAGGATGGGAGGAATAGAGACTAAGGGAGGGATGTGAGAGGAAGCTTTGGGAGAAGAAGCCAAAGAGAGAGGAGTGATACAAAGAAATAATAGAAAAACATGTGTTGAGGAGATGAAAGAATGCAAGGAGGAAATGTATGAGAAAAGAGTACAAATAAGTGTAGGGAGGAAGAAAGTCAAGCGGGACAAACAGACAGGAAGTCATCCGTAAAGCTGGAAGCAGACGGGTACGGGTGGCCGTGTCCAATGACTCATTCTCTTTAGATGACTCATGAATGACTAATTCACTTTTGCAGCGTTTTGCACCACATTTTGCATAGATGCCGCTGAATCGCTCACAGGCACAAATCACACTACATCTCACATCTGCTTAACACCGCTGCGGGGGGAAACAACGCCAACTTTATTTCATTTTTTCTGCTTCCTCCTTGAGCTACGCTTGAATGGAGAGCCTGGAGCTGATGGCTCGGTGTGTGAGAGGGAGATGTTGAGGATCTGCTCTGTGAAAGGCCGCTGTGGGCCTTAGATGGAGCTGGATGTAATAATAGGCTTTGCTGCGCCTTTTAGAAGTTCTGGGTTCACGTCTGGTTCACAACTCATGTAGCTTTTAATCTCCTCTCTCTGAGCTGCCGCTGCTGCTGTCACTCTGCGCTGTGCTATCAAGTTGGATTGGAAGCATTTCATTTCCCAAAATATATATGGGATTACTTTTCTTAACTGAAATGTTTTAAATGTATCACTTTACTTCACAGCCATTGCTGTTATAAAAAGGTGTGCAACGTTTATACAATAAGGGCGTGAAAGATATGCACTAAGGGCAAGGGGAAAGGGAAAAAACATGTTAAGGTGTCGCTGAGTGGCATGTGCACACGGATAGATACACATGCAGTTACAAAAGCAAATGACAAACGCCTCGCTCATACTAGGTGGGAACTGCACATTTTATCGACAATCAAAATCGTTATATGGACTAGTGCAATTTTCAAATGTCAGGAAGTATTTGATAAAAGGCAAAATATGTTAAGATACATTTCTCAATGTAATATTGTGGTGCTGCATTCTACTGACTTAATAAAACAACTTTGTGAGGTGCAGATCCTCTTTTCCAAATTGGGATGCCCTACACATGGTTATATATAACTACTGTATAGCTGGAAGAGCTTTCACCTTAAAACTCCAGTTGTTCACGAAAAAGGGAACAAGCCATCCAATCAAGGATAAGAAGCACAGACACTGACATCACAGTAAGGCCACATATGCATATTAGTAAGCTGATGGTGCTCAGAATATTCAAGCATAGATTTGGTTCTTGCTTTAGCAGCATAGCTTACAGCTCCTTTCCTAATACCAATTATTAGAATCATTTTGGTGACACACTTTATCGAGCTCGCTGTCACACTTTGACAAACACTGAAAATAATGAGGCTTTCGGCAAACCGTGTTAAAACAGCCCAGTAGATTTAAATGAATGTATTATTTCTCAATTATTTAATACTAATTGGTGTTACCACTGCCAGATCAAAGGCTGTGGTTGTTCCCCTCAAAGCTGCACAAGGGAAAGGTTCATGTAAGTGTCTCCCTGTGAAGCCGGTAGGTCACAGTTTGAACTTCGATAGGCTTTGATCCTGTGATGTAGCTTCCGTAAATTTAACACAGCAGGCTCATATTTATTACGTCTACAACTCTGTGATGATGCCTCGCACTGAAGGAATCCAATAACATCAAATATGATATATAATAATGTTGGTCATTTTGCTTTCTGGATATTTTTCATCATGGCCTGCAGATGGATACTGGACAGCACAACGTTGATCTGTATTGTTTGAAAGCAGGCATACATAACACAAATGTACTGGGAGATATACCAATGAAATTCCACAATTGATTTCTAAAGTCCTCAGTTCAAAGTTAGACACAAGCCCATAGCGCACTACAGCTCCTACGGTAATGTACCAAACCGCGTACTGTGTTGTGTCCAGAAATGTGGTATTGACTTTTCTCATGACATCCCTAGCTCCTGATAATTGCTTCTTTGGGTGGCATTTACTGGTGCTGTATGTTGAGAAACTGACAAAAAGACAACTTCCTTGTGGTCTCCCTGTCTGAATGACTGAAATGTGGGATAACAAGATATGATCTCTGACCTCTCCTGCCATGAACTGTCCAAACCCAGGTGGGAAGGTCAGGGTGGCGATGACCAGTGTTACCACAGCAGGGAAAATCAGCCGGCTGGGGGGGAACAGAAGAAAAATTGAATGTAAATAATAAACAGATTATTTCTCATGAACAACATTTTAGACTCAAACACTACATTTACAAGGAAAAATGCAATTAATTGATACAAATACTTCAAACTGTAAATGCAGTATATAAACCTAGGATTAGCTGCCAATAATATTAAAGCATATAATATACTGTATATAAACTCAATAATTAATTCATATTTAATTTTGATTTGGCATCAGTCAATGTAGATTAAGTGCGTAACTATTAAAATCCTATACCATCCTATATGCTTTAACCAATTCAATTATAGCAAATGTAAAAAAGTATATCAAGCGTTTTGAGCAAAGACTCACTGTTTGGTGAGAAAGCGTGTCATGGCGTTGGGGCGTCTCATGAACAGCACCACCTGTCTGTTGAGATAGACGAAGAACGCCCCCAAGAACCCACAGGAGATCCTGCCAAAACAAATAAACTCCACATTAGCCAAGTTAATTCATTTGTTCATGCCTGTGTGTTATACAGCACGTCCCTCCATTTCCTCCCTTGAGGTAAACAGTGAGTAATTGGATTCTCAATGTTTTAAATGCTACATTTGCATAAAGCACACACAAAGACGCTGCCATGAACACCTTTGTCTCCATTATCCAGCCACTCACCCAATGATGGCGAAGGCAGGCAGCTCCTGCAGGTCAAAAGGGAAATCCATGCGGAAGTTTGTCCTGAACAGAGCAGTGATGGTTACTGGAAAACAAGAAAAAAGAGAGAGGAAATTCACGCAATCACTTTTTAGTGATCAAAGTACAGGATAGGTACTTTGACTCAAATATTATAAAATGATTATTAAATAGAATTGTCAATAGTTATTGGTTTACAGCAGCGGCTGCTGTCGTATTTCCTTTAAAGGGGCATTTAAACAAATATTTTCAACCATCTCTGTATTACTGAGGCACTGATCAACTTCCTCGCATTACAAGGTCACTCTAGTGTGAGTGTGGGTCTGTTCGAAATCATAAACTAACATAACATTCTTACTTACTAAAATTGATTACGCTAAATTATTTATTCAGTTTAATTTGACTTAAAATAGTTATGAGAATATATTCAATTTAGTAGAAGAGGTCATGTAGATTTACATTCGTGACAAACACTTTATATTTAACGGAGGTTAGGGCCAGTAACAGTTTGATTGATTCAGTCAAGTAATGCAAGGAACACATGACACTTGAGTTGACAGTCTGGTGGTAATGACTATAGATTGCATAAAATAGCTGGTGACATTATTGTTACTACTAATATATAGATTGAGTGTGTATTACACAGTAACATCATATTCAATTTTGATCACAGCAGTCACTTAAACATTCCTTCAGGACCCTTGGGTGACCCATATCAGGTAATAAAATACTGCTCTGCTTCATATTAGAGGAGGGCATTGTCAATTTGGTAAATAAATGATGTGCCTTTTCATTTTTGAAGTAAGGGTGCCCTCTAGTGCTTGCTTGATAAAGAGAAAATGTCATAATATTGGCCAGTATCTCACACACCAATACAACATTAAAATAAGTGTCAAAATGATGATGAAAACTTTTTCTCCAACCAGTACAGTACCTGCATCTTTGTTGAACACGGATAACACTCTGAATATGAAGGCACTAAATGTAGCAGCAAAGTATCCTCTCCAGTAGTTTCTCACAGCAAAGTATGTGGATGTTACTTCTATACTAAAGAGCACACCTGGTGGAAAAGACAACAAGGAAATATGCAGCAATCAAACAGGCAGGAACATAAAAAAAAGCAAGAAAGGTGCATGTAAAACAACCTGGTCTTTCCTGTGAAATGGAACACTTGTGGATACTTAAATAAATGTTAAACCCCTTGAACATAGCTTACAATTTAAATCTACTGGGTATATACAAATGAGGGAAGATGTGGGATGTGAAAAAGAGAGAGACACAGAGAAGAGAGAAGACTGTGTACCTCCAAGTGGAGTCCCAAAGCAGCAGCCCACCCCGACAGCACAGCCCACTGTAAGGATGTCTGTGTAACAGTATGGATTCTACTGATCCAGAGAGGAGGAAGAGGAGGGAGGATTGAGAGAACAGAAAGATGACATATAGATGAGTATACATACAGTACACATTTTATTATAATCACAGGTAACAGTTGCTTGAAAATTCAATATTTTCTTAACATCAGCTTACCTGAGCTCCTGAAAAGAAGGACATGAACCTGCTGAGAACGGCAGCACAGATACTGGCGATGTGGACAAACGGGCCCTGAGAGGACATGAAGTACAGTTCATCCAAAAACGTTTTATAGCAGTGTGTGTGTGCAGTACAATACCAAAGACCAGAGGAAAGATGCACTTGATGGTTGAATTAAATGAAAAAGGTAGAGGGAGTGTTGAAGCCATTTTGCACATTTACCTGGATTACATCGTATTGTGATTATCGTTTTGATTGATGCAGCTATTATTGTGAATACTGATGAATAATATGGAGGACAGATGAACAGGTATCTACTATAAGCAGGGGAAAACCATTTTCAACCTTTTAATATTTGTTCTACTTTCCTTTAAATAAATAGATGACAATTGTGTGGAAATGCACATTGATATTCTGACAGCTTCATACAGGAAGAGATTGGTTACTTAATCAATGATACAAATGTGGTTGACCCACCTCTTTGCCTACAGGCATCCCGCTGCCCAGGGCAGCCGTCAGGCCGATGACTTTAGCAGCAAAGGCCCTGAGAGTTAGATATTCCTTCAGCACCACGCCTCTCAGGATGGTCTTCAGCTCCGGGATGCCAGAACCTGAGACACAAGGGGAACAAAAGGTTGTTTGGAGGGGAACAGGGGAATCAGTGAATCATTTGAATTATAGAATACAAATTTGTGTAGAGAAGGGCTGTAAAGAAATATTTTAAATGTAAGTATATTTTCCAAAAAAACATAAGAATAAGAACATTATTTTTGATTGTAGGAGCGTCAAAAAGCAGCACTATGGTCACAACATCACTTTAACTAAATAGAGATACATGTGATATCAGGCCAAGCTGAACGATGTTTGACAACATTGCCAATGTTGGATATTTTTGATATTCAAACTGAAAGCATTAAATAAACACACACACAAGTAATTTAAGTCATCGAGTCATGTCACAAGTCTTTTACTTCCTAGTCAAGTTAAGTATTTACTGTCCAGTTCATTGGAGTGTTTTGATTAAACAACATTATTTTTGACAGCCCAAGTCTGAAGCTTATGTCCCACAGCTGTACAGCCACATTTGAAAAGAAAATGCCCGTTGACTCTGCAGCGACTGTACAGCAGCATCCATGTGAAATGTTGGACAAAGAAGCAAGATCCCATTTTAAGCACTTTCTCTACACCTGCTTAAAATAGCTTAAGTAATAAACCTATTAGATAAAGAACATTCCTGTCAGTTTGAATAATGCACCCTGAAGGGATAAACTCTACAGGGTTTAATTTCAATAAAATGCTACAGCATCTCATTTCACTGATTAGCTGAGATGACTATTCCAATATGTGATTAAATACTAAATGTACATTGTCTAATATGCAGTCATAATTTAGAGGTAATTGACCAGAAACTATAGGTAGACGAGCACAGAGAACACAGCCATAAGGAGGACTGGGCTACAGACCAATAGCCTGAGGAGCGACCAGGTGACAGAAGAGGGAGGAGAACAGGATGAAGATCAGGGGATATGAAACCCAGGCCAGGTACTGCAAGGCGATTTTCCCCTTCAGCTCCCCATAAATCCATTTATAGGCTGAAGGTGGGTGGAAGGAAGATAAAGGAAGTGATAAAAAAGGGGGGAAATTGGGAAATTATAAACAAAAGAACAATGGCTAAAAATAAATTAATGAATAGCTGCACTTTAGGAAGATATAAAAATAATGCAAGATAGATGCAGAAGATGGAAAATAAGTTATGAAACAAAGAATAACAAAATTCAGAGAAGAAAAGAAAGCTGCAAATATCCAATCTATTTTTGCTCCAGCTTGGCCTCTACTCTACTTTGTTAGATCTGCAATGCATTCTGGGTTTTGTAGACTTACCTTGCAGGCTTTTTGCGCTGGCATAGTCCATTGTCCAGCTGACCAATGCCATTGTGATGCCCAGCATAATGAGGAAGATCCAGTCTTCTCCCAACCTGGTCACCAGGAATCGCTGCACCCATGCTATGCAGTCTGACAAAACCAAAAACCACAACAAAGTAGTAGTAAAAGTTTATTGACCTTCTTTGTTTATTCTTTGGTAGACCCTCCAGAAAAACGCGATTCTGCAATCGCAGAATTTACCGCATAATCAGCAAAATGGCGCATATTTTTAAAAGGCCGCATATTTATCAAAAGGCCGCATAATCCCCGCATTTTCCACACAAAGTTGAGAAAAAAAAAAGTTAACTCGTCTTGATGTGAAGTAGTGATGATGATGATAATGATGATAATGATGATGATGATGACGCGACGTCATCAGCTGGCGCATCACAGAAGGTAAACAACACCGTACAGTGAACGTGTGGAACTCACACGAGAGAGAAAACACCAAGATGAAAAAATCTAATCCATCTCATTTACCGACGAACATTTCTGCTAAAGACCGGGCAAAGCAGTACCCCGATGTCTTTCACCAAAGTGGGGGGAAACTATTCTGCACCCCGTGCAACTGTGTGTTGGAGCATAAGAGAAAGTCGACGGTGACGACCCACTTTGATTCATTCAAACATTCGAAAATGCTTTCTGCTGCTGCGGACAAGAAAGCCAAAC